GTGCTGCAGCGCACAGGGCGCTCCTGGGGATAAACCTCCCCGAGAGAGCGAACAGTGGCTTCGGACGGGACCAGGCAGCGCTCGAGGCTTTTGAGCTGCAGAGCAGGAGCCTGGGGGCGGCCGAGGGGCTGAGCGGGACGGGGCAGAAGCTGATGGAGGAGCCCTCCCTCACCACAGCACCAGCCCGCTTGTGTCATTCTGTTTTTCTCAGCCCAGGCGTGGCCCAGCGCTCCCACACGCAGCACCGGAGGAGCAGGGCTGGGGCAGTGAGGGGGTTGTCCTGTAGCAACACCCCTCTCCCTGTCCCCACACTCCCCTCACAGCGGGCACCCATGGGGAGATGCTGCCAGGGGCCTGGCCAAGCGCTCCTGTCACTGCACACACAACCAGCGGGGAGGAACTTAGTTATCCTTTTATTTATAAACAAATCAACGTAAAATAAGTGCAGAGGAAAGCACTGGCTGACCCCGCACGGGGACCTGTCTGCAGCGGGCCAGCGTCAGGTAAAAATGAGGGGTCCCAGGGCCGCCGCTGCGAGCGACAGGGCTCTGCGAGTGGCCAGAGCCCCACCTCCCCCCGACCACACTGGTGCAGCGGCAGGGACTGCAGCACAGACATCGCTGTATAACAAAGAGCCTTTTTATTACTTTGGGGTTTGGGTTTGGTTTGGGGTTTGTTTTTTTTTTTTTTGCAACTTTTCCCCTTAGGGGTAAACCTGACCCAGTGCAAGAGACTGGAGGGTTATTCAGCACGGGGGCCCATTCTGCTGCTGGCCAGGGCCTTGCGGGTGGCAGGGATGAGGGTGGGAGCCGCTGCTCTGGATGCGGAGGGTGAGCTGAAGGCAGGAGAGGGAAGAAGTGCTTGCCGTGGGGAGCCCCGGCCCAGCCCCTTGGTCACCGCAGAAGGGAAGCACCTGCGGGAGCACAGGCCTGGGACAGCCCCCGCCAGCCCTTCCCCAGCTTGTCCCGGGCAGGCGCAGCCCCTGTCCCCTCGGCAGCCCTGAGCCCCACAGCTGCAGCCCCGGGGACACGGTGGCAGGGACGGGGAGCGCTCCCCTACGCCTCTCGCAGCTGCAGTAACGCGTCTGGGACAGCAGGTTACCGCTCAAGTGCCATCAAAAATAAATACATTAGACTGTCTGAAACAAACAGGTGCCATCGGGTAGGGCCAAGCCCTTTCAGGAAGAGCAGCGCAGGGACAGGTCACCCCGCGGGGGGATCCTCTGACCTGCCAGACCCAACACCCTCTCGCACACGCTGAGCTGGGACGGACCAAAACGCCAGAGGGCTGGGAGGGCCCCTGGGAAGACGAACCTTTGCATCTCTGGCTGAAAAATCTCCAAGAGTTGCAAGTTTAACAACAGGTAGAAAAATCATTTCCTCATTTTAAACAGATAACTCCTTATATATATAAAAAAAAATCAAAAAAGCCCTCAAAAAAAAAAAAAAGAAGATTCAGTGAAGTCCTGCAGCATCCAGCCAGCCTCTGACGCCGACCCAGGCCCATCCTGGCCACGGGCACGCCAGACCCAGCCACGCTCCTCAGCTCGCCCACTGCTCGCTCCACACTCCTGGGCAGCACCGTGTGGTGGCACGCAGCCCCCCCAGTCAGAAATAAATACAAAGGGCTCCGTCCCCGGCCCAGCGTCCCCAGCTGGAGGAAGGCCAGAAGCTGAGGGGCAAGCAGAGCTCGGGAGGCGAGTGGGCCAGGCGGCTGGGCTCCCCCAGGCGTGGAAGACAGGGACGGGGGCGGTTGCTCTGAGCTTGCCACGGTGCTACAGGGGCCGAGCACGGGAAGGGGGCACTGTCCCCCTGGCAGCCGGAGCATCCAGCCCCCCCAGCCCCCCACCCCTGTGAGGGGACAGGAGCCAAGGGCCGCCTGTGCAGGCGAGGCTGGGAGCGCACGAGCCCCGGCGAGAGGCAGAGGAGCCCCGTGCCCGTGGGCTCTGCTCAGAGCCGCTGCTCCATCCCGGGGAGGCCGGACTGGGAGCCCGCGGAGAAACGCTGGCTGGGCAGCAGGGAGAGACCCCCCACTTCCAACAGGCTGCCCACGACTCGAGTCCGGTGCGAAGCCCTGGGGCCGGCCATGCGCCAGCCCCCTCCCGAGTGCCGCGGGGCCTGG